TTTGTTGTTGTTGTATTTCACTACTGTTCGAAAAAACCTCTTTATGAAATATAACAAGTTTGCTATTAAAAATAATAGTCACTTTGGTTAACGTTAAATTACAACTTATATTCACAAAATATTGGTCTCGCCCGTGCGACTAGTGGAGTAACATTAGCATGACTTTCTCAGCATTACGTTCCTAGATTAGGTTCTGTACATAAGAAAGAACAAATCATGCAACAAATAATGCCTCTACGAACAGAATAGTATTGAAATTTAACAATTAAAAATAAAAATATAATTAATTAATTAATTCAATTATTCTACAGCTGGTTTATGATTTCGTTCTAATATAAACACAGCAAGTAAAATTGTTAATAAGAACTTTCATAGCAAAAGTAAACTCCAGAAAATATGCGAACAAAAAAGTCAAGTACGGCTTTGGATCAGTTGGTTAAGGTGCGCTGATTCTGAGCTTCACATTTGGCAGGACCCGAGTTCGATTCCTGGTACTTGCAGTCTCAAAAATAATTATTTACGAATAATTAAATACAAGAATTATTTCCAAGACCACTGATGAAGGGTATTTGGCAATACTCGAAACAGCTGTATGATCAGCCAAAAATTCAATTAATTAAAATAATTTAAAAAATAAATTTTTGTTGTTGTTTCACTTCTGTTCGAAAACCTCTTTATATAAATATTTTAGTAAATTATTTTACACACTTTATTAGTAATATTAATTATTCTAGCTTTTGCCTTCATTCTGAAAATGATTAGCAAATTTATCACGGATAAATGCTGCATTTTCTAGATTTTCTATAAATTCGGCAGAAAAATCTTCCTCCTCCATGTCATTTGGATAGAGGTTTTTGTACCAGCTACTCTTCTCAATCAAAAAGTTGTGCAATACACAACAGCATAAAACGATTGCCTTTGCTTTTGTTTCGTTTAGTAATATAGGTCTTTGGAATACTCGAAATCTATTACTTAAAATACCGAGAGCACGTCCAATGCTTTGGTGGCCCCGATTTAAACGTGTATTAAAATTCACACTTTTTGGATCTGTATTTGACTTTGGGTATGGAACCATAAGATTTTTAAGAAGCGGAAAACCATTTCTTCCCAAAATTACGAAAGGCAATTTTCTGTTGTTGCCTACAAGCCGAGGCGGAGGAAAAATTGTGTCTGAATTTTCAACAATATCACTTAGAATGGAGCGGAAAAACACATCTTCATCACTTATACAACCTTTATACCCAACATCAATAAAAAGAAATTTAGCATTAGCATCAGCCAGTGCTAACAAAACTATGCTTGTATAGCCCTTATTGTTACAAAACAATGAAGATTTTTCTTTGCTAGGAGTGAAAGCAATATGTTTCGCCTCCAATGCGCCTAGGCAATTCGGAAATTGGCACATATCCTCAAAATCATTGGCAACCTCGATCCATTTTTCTTTACTATTAGGAAACTGAAAATAGATAAAATTTGAATCTCTATAACAGGACCTATATTTTTTTTTAATCACCTTAAGATATCTCCCTTTCATTTTCATGTATATAGCATTGCAAACACTCAGGAAATTCTCCTTCAAATAACTCTGCGACAATGTTAATTTTTCACCCAGTTCCCTGAAATTTTCGCCTGTCACTAAAAAACGTATCGATGCTGCTAATAATGCCTTGCCTGGTATAGACTTCCGAAGATGAGTGTCCTGTTTTTGTATGTTATTCTCTACATATGAATATAGTTCGTTGAAAATGTTTTCGTCCATAAGCAGATAGGACTCCAAACTGCTCATATCACTAGCCAAATTGTACTCTGTGATTAAAGTTTGAATATTCGTACATTCACTTCTATATCTCGGTTTTATGCAGTAAATAGCCCCCGCTTTTCTCTTCCTGCGGCGTTTATTTTCTTCCTGTAACGCGCTGATTGCACCAGTAAGGCAAGTGTTAATCACTTGCAAAGCAGCGACGGCAATTTCATTTTCCATTTTTAACTTATTTTCAATTAAATTATAAATAATTAAAAAATGCTTTTAATTTCACATTGCTCCACCTCTACTCGGTTTAATTGTGCTAATCACAAAATAAATGTCAAAATTGTTGTCAAAATCCTTCATCTCCGTTTTTTACTAATGCATGCATACACACACTTTATGTAAGAATTGTTAATCTGCGGAATTCATGTAGTGTGGCCAGCGGCAAAAACTAATTTCCAAAAAGCAATCACGAGTACTAGGTGTCATTTCCCTGCTTACATTTGTTATGCAATTAATTAATTATCAAAAAAGAGAACACAACACCATAAGATTTAAAACAATAATTTATGAATGTATCTTTGAGTGTACTTTGCCAAACAAGTATAAATTCCTCCCGAAGAGTAACTCACAGCAACAAAAACTTCTATCTTAATTTATTTTTGCATCTTTTACAATCTGTTAAATATCAATAGAAAATATAACAAATAAACTTGTTTTAATTAAGTAAACATTATCACCTGAGAACGTAAATAAAAATTTAGTTTAATAAAGTAATTGATAACAAAATAAAGTAGAAACGCGTATGCAACGGAAAGTGAATCAAAACAGAAACATGAAAATGTTGCTAGCAACATTTAAAATGTTTATCACATTTCAGCAACTTGTTGAATAAACCTTCTACCATGGCAGAGACAGAAATTTGTGTACATATTTACTAAATTGCAAAAATGTAATCACCGAAAACATATCAGCAACCGAAATAACAAATATTTATTATTTTTGCAGTATCTTATACATATAGGCTTTGCACATATAAAATGTGGCTATGTTTATAAACATAAAAATGTATGACATGTAGATGGCGCTTGCACAGTAAATAAAAATATGTTTCGTTTAATTTTTTTACGTTAATACAAAAATTCTTCTAAAGCTTAATTAAAAAAACATTAGTAGAGTATATTAATACTTTTCAAAAAGTTTAACAAATTATCACTGAAATCTCAATTTTAAATCAAAATTACAAATGCGGCGCCAATTAATGATTCAGTGGCTTTTTAATTTAAAGATAAAGAATTTTTCATTAAAAACGTATTTTATTTTTCAAGTCTTCTTTTAGTCCAACACATTTAGTACAGCGTTTTACCAATTTTTTTATTATTTCTAATGTTAGTAGTAGTCCCTTCCTAATACCATTAAGCCCTTTACTTAGATCCAGAATAAAGAAATAGTTGGAGAAGCCTAAATTTGGAGAATATCATGGTTAATGTGACAGTCGGATTTTTGCCATACCCATCTCATACGTTTGCGTTGTCTTGATGGAAAAGAACATTTTTTTCGCCAGAAGTGGCCGGTTTTACTTTAAGTCGATGTCAAATCTATCCAACAGCTCTAAATCAATTTTGCCTGTGAAGGTTTAACACTTTCTAAGAAACTGTCGCCATGATCTTTGCCAGGAAAGTTCCACTAATTTAAATGTTCTTTGGTCTCTAGTTTATTGTGATAAATCCATGTTTCGTTCACAGTTACATACAACACAGAAACTCAAACGAGTTTAAGAAATATGGAGTGCTGTAAATTTTTATAAAATATATTTGCTTCTAAAAACTAAACGGTAAAACGTTTTATTGTTTTAATTTCATAATTTAAATTGAAAATGATTGACTCTCCTCAATTAGCTGAAGAACATTTCTAATGCCACACATCTTGGCATATCTTGGTTTTATAACCAATCGGACTCATTGATGAATACAAGTATTTTGCTCTTTGCTAGACTCTAGATACTCTGAAGTGAGTAAAAGAAGAGCGCTTTAATACTTAACTCTAGTTCTAGATTTAAGGTAAAACAGAGGCATATTAGAGACAGAAACTCTTAAGGGATCTTATGTAGCTTAGACATCGACTCTCCCTAACAGCTCAAAGTGTTCATTTTTCGCTATACCTGCATGGCCAAGAATGCAAACTTTACCCTCAAATTGCTATCCAATGAGATTTTATTTTTTACACTCGTAAGTAGCTGGAATAAGACATAAGTAGCCAGCCGAAGTAGTTTTAATAGCAATCTGACTGTGAGAATAATGTGATCTCTTCACTAAAATAACATTAATAAGAAAACAGTGTAATATTTAAATGTAATATTTAAATGTGTCATGTAATATTATGGTGGCAGGATTGCCATGTAATGTCAGGATGTTTGCAGGATATTATTTATTAAATACCTCGACAGGATAATCTTATTAACCCCAATTCAAAAATCGACCTAACAGTAGTTAAGTATTAATCTGAGCTCTTTAGCCAACTTTTAGTTATTACCAGCAAGAATGTAAAGTCCAGCATATAACTTGAGCAAGAATGTGAAGTCCAGCATATAACTTGAGATGCAATTAAAGAAGTTGTCTAAAAAGAATCTAAATGAATCTAAAATGAATCTAATTTTATTTCGAAAATCTTAAACTATTTATACAAAATAATCTTATGTACTAAATTATTATTTAATTCATATATATTTTCATATGTATTTTATATATATACATATTCATATAATTATTAACATAGTATATAATTTTTATATGTAAAATATATCCATATATCTATCTTACTATTCTAACATGTGTTATATATTTCTTATCTTGTACATATGCATTTTACTTATGCATATTGTGATAAACATTCATAAAATATTATATTTCTCATTAGGAATTTGTGCTACTACAGTACAATAACCACACATGATTAAACGTTTGGCTCGCGCATTATGTTCCAAGTGCACAATCGTAACGGCGTGACTCAAAAAAAATCTAAAAGGGTAATACGATCAAAGTCAAACCGACAAAGCGACAAATGTGCATTCAATAAATTATGTCACAGTTGTTGAGTTACTTTATGCAATAACCTGCCATATTAAACAATGATGTAGGTCATGGGCACTACAACAGTCTCCTAACTCTTAACGATAAATCAATAATTTTCTAAGGAGTATCGTCAATATTTGTGTTGCTGGTCTTTGTACAGGAAATTTAATTTTGTTTAATAAAAGCTGAACACTACAACAAGAATCTTTAAAAACAACATTAACAGAAAAATAATCAAAATTTTTTTATTCCTTGTGTACAAAAATCCTAATTCATTATTTAAAATTAAACATTTACTCCATATTTATTCCAGGTTTATTCCATACCTTCTTCAACTATCTCAATCGTTTCATATACTTCATCTTCAATAAACTCGAACTCATTAAATACTTCAGTACTGGTTACTTCGCTAGCATTTGTTTCTGATTTCTTTTTAACGGTCGGTTTCCTTGTCTTATACTTTCTTCTTATACTATCTATTTTAGTATAGGAACCTGTAATTAAAATAAGAGAATATATTTATGTTAAAAATATATATAAAGAAAGCGGACCATTTGTTGCTGTATTGTCGTGTCGTCTCTTTATGTGCTTATTTAGATTGGACCAATTAGTAAAAGCACTATCACATTCGGAACAAACGTATGGCCGTAATCCATTGTGGATATTTATATGAGTCTACAAGTGTAATAATTAATAATATTATATGTTATTTTTTTCGTAGTCTTGCTTGCTCATTATCTAAGTAATAAGTAATAATACTTACCAAAAATGTGCCACGAAACCGGAAGGCTCTATCACAGTACGTACATTTGTATGGTTTTTCCCCCGTATGTATGCGTTCGTGAGCCATTTTTACGTCTTTCGTACGAAACTCTTTATTGCAGTAATCACACTTGAATTCCTTTACATTGGAATGGATCAACATGTGCTTTTCTAGATTTAGTGATGTCTTGAACCTATATTAATGGAATAAGATTCAAAAATAATTGACAAGCTTTTTCGGATATTAAAGAGAGATCAAGAATAATGGAATATCAAAACAAAATAAGAAATACTTAGGTTTTGAATTATAAGTACAATTGGGTTCTACAATAAAACTCTACTGTTTCAACAACTTAGTTAAAATTGAGAACATTTTTTCATTTTAATATTAGGTTTAAAATTGACATTTCTAAAACTTTTAACAACGTCTGGCACGATGGCTTGATTGTAAAAATGTCTCATCTCGGTGTTCCAGGCAGGCTAACTAAGATCACGTGGGAGGGTCTTTTGCACGAAAATCAATGACGCTTTCTCCTCAGTCCGAACTATAGATGCAGGGATTCCGCAGAGATCGCCACTTTCCCCCACTCTCTATAACATTTATACATCTGATATCCCAATTTTAGGTCCCTCGACTCTGGCGTTGTATGCTGATGACACGTTTATGCTATACTCAGATAAATGTGCTCTCAACATAACCAACACACTTCAAGCGCATATAAACCTCATCCTGGAGTATTTCCAGAAATGTTAAATAGAAATCAATAATGAAAAAACTAAGGCTGTGTTTATTACGCGACAGAATGGAGACAGAACCCGTCGAGAGTGAGAGTGGAAGATATGTTAATAAACTGCGAGGAGAGCACTAAAAATCTAGGCATCAAGGTGGATAATCGATTCACATGGCTTAAACATGCTAAATTGAAAAAAATTAGCTGTGCCAAAATTCTTCATCACCTTCAAGCACTATTCAAAAATGAAAATCTCAATACTAAGAACAGGAAGCTTTTATATAACCAAATAATTCAAACATTATTATTCGCCAACCAGGCTCTGAGAAGATTTTTCAAGGAACCATGGTACATTCGGACAAATGACATCCTCAGGAATCTCAAGATGGATCCGATCAAAAAATACATAAAGAATAGAGTTCTGAAAGTATTTACGAAAACTGACAGATTTACCAATACAGCGTTATCAAATCTCAGAATGGTTAAGGGATACCTCCCCGGCTCCTCGGAGAGGTATGCCGATCTGAGGTCAATTATTGCTTAGTCTAATGAAATGATAAACAATAATCCAGTGAAGGCGTAGAGAGCGGTTATGAAGAAACCTCGCTGTTAATAGAGAGTAAAAGTGCTCAAGTGCACTGACTTAACTAGCCTCAACATAATAATAGTCAAACAAGGAAATGTAAATTCGATTTATACTCGCGCTGCTACAAAAAAGTTGGACAACTGTCATAGATATAACCCAAGATAGAAATAACAACAGGAACGAATGCAAGAAATACAAAATGGAATATCTCTCATATTTACGTTATGCGTTGTTATAAACGCATTTAAAGTGCTTGGGGACCTTGCAATTGAGGACTTCTCAAGAATGAAACACTAAGTATTTTTTAGATTTACTAAAACGCTATCGGCATTCTCCAGAATACCTACAAAAAAATATACAAAGACCTCTTGCTATAATTGATATCGCAAGGTATCAATAACCTAAAGTGTGGCTTACACCTAGGCCACCTAGGTTAACCTAACATAACCTAAGTTTTTATATTTTTATTAAGACGTTTTAACCATTGTTAATACGTGAAGCAAATATGAAGTACTTAAGTGTATACAATGCCATTTGTGATGAGCAAATACGGTTACGTTAGGTTATACCAGCGATCCCTAAGGGATCCACTTAGGCCTATTGGCCCATTGCGTTACAGTATATAGAGGAAACTTCGGGTTTTAAACTACAGAGAACCTTTGGCGAAGCTTAGAATGCTTTTAGTGGGAGGTCTTGTAATTGATCAAGATCCTCAAGAAAGGGGGGTCTCCAATTGCAGTTCTTACCACCCAAGATCTTATTCATCGGTTTGTCTCCCTATGTATACAGTCAAACTTCCATAACTCGAACTTCTATAACTCGAATTTTCTATAACTCGAATTAAAAATATTGTCACGTGCCATTAGGAATATGGGGAGAATGTATTCTATAAGTCGAATTTTTGTTTTAAGTATGAATCCATTTTGGTGTTAGGGGATTGCAGAAATCATGTAACAAAAGCTTCATATATTGTTGTAAATATTGAAACGATAGCGCACTGCTTTCAAAAAAGCTGGATTTGACCAATTTTCTAAATAGGACGAACGGATGGAATAGAATTATTAAGCGTGGTTTAAAGTAAATAAAATAACTTCCAACGCTACTCTTAACGATTATATTGTGCTTGACAATATGAAATTTATTTGTCAAGCTTTCCTACACACGATATTATTGAGCATTATTGCACTGAATTAGTAGATCCAATTCTGAGCGCAACGGAAAGTGATGACGATTTAGTGGATCAGTCAGTTGTTCATCAGTCTTCCAAAAATGAAATAGAAGACTCATTCAAACTTTTGATTTTTTATTTGCAAACGAATACAACTGACGATCACTATAACGCTTGAAATAAATTGGTATCTTTTTTACTGAAAAAAAAAATTTTAATTTCTGAATATTTTACTTCACTATAACCTCTGTGCTGTATTTGATTTCATATAAAGAAATGTCTTAAAATGTAATTCTTGTAATTCTAGTTTCTTTCAAAAGTAAAAAAATTCTCTAACTCAACATCTCCATAAGTCGAAGCTTTTCTTTGCAAAATGGTACATCGAGTTATTATCATTTTTGACTGTATATACTTTCATAACGTTCTCTAACACCAAATAATTTAGCGTACACCAGGCTGCTAATACAATTGGTGGTATAAAATATATTTATTATAAGAATATTAATTATTTTACTTACTTTTTATGGCAGGTTTGACATACAAAACCTTTTTGTGATTCGTGTGATATTAGGTGGACGTCTAGATTAATTTTCTGTCTGAAAGCACGACCACATTGGTCACAAGTATAGTCCTTAGTATCTACAAATTAGAACATTTAATGATTTAATACGATTTTATATGAGTAATTTAACAATAATAAAAACAACTTTCTGCAATCATTTTGAAAAATAAAGTTATATTATTTGAAATTGCGGAACAAACCAGTGTGTATTAGATGATGAGCCTTCAATGCACCAACGCGTTTGAAATGTTTACCGCAATCTTCACACTCGAAATATTTCTGCAGTTTAGAGTGTTGATAGCGTATGTGATTCAGCAGTGCAGACGCTGTGAAATATCCTTTACCGCATTGATTGCAAAATGCAACCGATGGAAAAAGATTCGAATCCATTGAGCATTTATATTCGCGATGTTCTGAAAGCTCTTTAAAATCTGTAAATTCCTCGTAGCAGACATCACAATGCTTCATTAATGCTGGGTGATGTCGAATGCGCACATGGTTCAGAAATGAATTGTACCGTTGACATATCTTTTGGCAATCAAAACATTTGTATTCCATATCATGTTTGCGTTTTTTGTGCACACTTTGCGAATGATTAACTAATTCAATAAAGGACTTTGCTGTATAAGTGCAATCGCTGCAACACCAAGTGTATAGATTCCAACTGGTCAGCGACTAAAACAATAGGATTTCATTTAAAACTTTAAATTAACAGATATTATAAAACACTCACAATACTTTCCTTCACACTATTAGTGAAAGACTCCTCGATTTCGAGCTCTTCCTCCTGTTCATCATTTTCTTGCAACAAGAAAGCATTAACATCTTCACTGTTAGTAACATTTTCTTCCGTTAGTAAAAAATTATCTTTTTCTTCTTTCTTTAATTCACTATCATCACTCTCAATCAAGACTTCATATTCAGTGGCATATTCCTCCAGATCACGTTGATTTTCTCCTCGTTCCACCGACAATTCCATGTTTTCGCCACGCACCTGATTAAGTACATTACCGATGAGAATTATATCACTATCAACACTTTTTAAGTCGTCATCAGACTCTCGTTGCTGTGATTTGTACACTAAATTATCTTCATCGCATATATTTACTTCGTACAGATCTATTTCCTCACTGTCTTTAACTGTGCCTGCATGAGTTTTAGTGTGCAAATCTGCATTTAAAATAGTTTTCTGCTCTACAAACTTAGATTCCTTTTTTATTTTCATCGAAACTCTTTCAGCTTTTAGCGCTGCAACGACATCCGTTGTACTTCCATCAGTTCTCTCTGATATTTCTTTCTCAAGCGCTGGTACATTTTTACTGTGAATCCTCTTCAAACGCTTAGAACTGCGCGTCGCCACTTGTTGTTGAAGATTTTTTTCTTCAGTTTTTTTAGTCTCTTTCTGATCACAATTTTGTCCAGAATTTTCGCGTAGACTCTGAATTAGAGTTGCACCCAATGTTTGCTTGCTTTTTGGCGACTCTCGCGCCTCACCATTATCTTCAGTTGCGTATGTGGGCAAAAACAGATTCCCTAACAATTCCTGTGCCTCGTTCACTTTCGTATAGAATTTGAACACCTGTTGTACATCATTGATACAATCCTCGCATATTGACTTGGACAAATTGTCCACCAATATTATTTTTATTTTTATACTCTGGTTGACTTTGTCGCATAGTTCCTCAGTTAACTGGCTAAATAAATCCTTTTTACGCAAAGTAGCACATAACCGACAGACGTCAACCATGTTTTATATTCGGAAGCAATTTGCCTAAAATAATATACGACCCGTACATAGATTTACAATTATATGGAATATACTAGTTTACCTAAAATTTTCAAATATAAAGTTTAAAATGTCGCAATATTTGCTAAATTTCTTGCCGCAATGTACAAAAGTGCGTCGTAAAGCAAAACTAAAAATCTTTGACATATTTCTATGGAGCATTGTTTGCGTTGCCAATCAAACTAATTTCGAATCGTGCAAACTACAGTATGAGAAAAATATAATTAATTTCTATAAGCTCTCTAAAAATTTTTAATATGTATAATTGCACATAAAATATTATATTATAAATAATAATAATTATATATAAAATTATAAATAATTACACACATAATACAATAGCTGTGCAATACAATAGCAAACACTAATGTGGATCTTCTTTGCTAAAACGACACAGATCACATGTGAAAGTAATTGGCAACACATCAATCATTACAGCTGTGTTTATTAACAAACTTCGTTTTGATTTGTGTGAACAGTTTTGGCGCTAAAAGAATAATTTAAAAAATTTTAATACAAAACATGAAAAATATAAAAAAAACAAATGTCCTGAAATTTATGAATTATTAAATGCAAGTTTTTGTTTATTTTGTATTTTGAAACCTAATTTAATTTTAGTTTAGTTTTGTTTAATAGAATCATTGAGCGATAGTGAAACTGACCCTTCCACTCCCTTTTTAAACTCTAGTTTAAGTGTATTAAGCTCAAGGGATGAAGTGCATCAGTATTGAAATATTGGGAAATTTATGCAAACTATTAATAGTTTTTCTAATGAAGATTTCAGGAAAAATTTTAAGCTTCAACTATGTGCTACCAATTATTTGAAGGATATGTGCACATAGAAAATATAATTACTTCTTATTAAATACATTTTATATTCCAATAAATTTGTTTATAAATTACAATCAAGAAACACGACATAACCGAGAGAGAAGAATTTTTATATATTTTAGTTATATATGGCAAATTCAAATACAAATATTATTTTGTATTATTTTTGGCATAACAAAAGCTTCAGCTTGGAAATGATCTTTTTATGGACGTGTATGTTGAAGAGCCTGGTCCCTTACACGACAGCCGAGTTATGCGTAGATCGCAACTGTATAGTACAGCATTACTTCCAAACAAATTCCCCAGCTGTTCTTTTCTTTTAAGAGATTCTGCTTATCTTCGGTTCTTCATGTAATGCATTCGTAGACAAGGATTGTCATCGACTGTTGCATTTTATGGAACAACAAAGAACATCTTCAATAACAAATTTAATTATGTGCATATGCATATTGCATAATATATGTTGAACACAGGATGATGCAGTTAATATTGAATTCATTCAGAATGAGTATATCAACGAAGAAGATGTAATAAATCCTCAATATCTTAAAATGGATAATTGGAAAATGGATAATATGGAATTTAGTTAAAGCACATATAATTGAGTGTGGTGTCATAACGACTCATGGTTAACATCAAATACCTTTATATTAATTCATTTACAAAGTATTTGTTGAAGTAAGTATATTATGTATTGTTCTGTTTTAATTAAATAAAAGAATTTAACTTAATTTTTATATATTCCTTTCAAATTATTTTATTTTAATAAATTATCAAACAATTTTCAATAATAATAAAACATGAATAATTAAAGTAATAGTTTTAATTACAGTGATAATTAAAAAATTACTTTAAACAAAAAAAATTAATATTAATGACATATTAAATAAATAATAAATAAATATTAATGTAGTTTTATTTGTAGTTTCTACTGCACCGTATTATATGTTAAAATCGCATTGCCAACGACATTTCCACTAAAATACGTTCCACTTTTATTTTGTACATGCATTCCATATTGAACCAGACTATAAACTAGATCAATTGCTGGTTCACCCCATTCACCCCATTATTATTGTTTTGCATGTAAAATTGAGCGGATCATTGTTTGATGAAACGCAGCTGATATTCTATGGGCCTATTTACACTATCATGAACGTGAGATGAACTTGACGACAACATGAACTGTCAGTTCATTTTACACTATCATGAACTGTCATGAGCGTGAAATTTGTTTTGTGTAAACGTGTAAAAGCCTGCATGGAGTAGTGCAGAGCACAGAAATTGAGAGTATTCAGTATTAAAAGGTAAACATAAACATAATATTTCATATATATGTGTGTCAAGCTGAAGAAACGTAATAAATTTCATTGCGTGAAATTCATGAACTCACATCGCACTCTATTCCCTCTCTCATCTATAAGCAATCGGTTTTCAAGTTCATGTTCATGTTCATGATAGTGTAAATAGGCCCATTAGCAAGTAAAAAAGTAAACTGTGTTTATGAACAAAGATACAGCTGACGAATATAACACGTTGCCAACTACTTGTATTAATAATCGGTCTGCATTGTTTAAGTAAGGACAAGATCATTGTTTACTGAACACAGCTATTAAAAATATAACCAGTCAGCTGTTGATAATGGGTATTGTTTATATATCGTCAGTTTAGAACACATACATACATCATACAGCCTACAAAAAAGTGTTAATAAATATACATAAATAAATATATAAGTAGTGCATTTTATATACCAATCACATAATCTAATCGATTCATGAGACATATACAAAGATAAATCAATAACGTTATTCAAATTAGTTAACATGGAAGAATTATTAACGTATTTACCAAAACTTGAGTTACATGCTCATTTAAATGGTTCGTTGAATATAAATTCAATACAAGAGTTAGGTGAACGACTTTACGGCACAAACACCGATGAATTCCGTGCATTATGTCAAAAGTTCATAAAATTCGATGATAAAGTAGAGCTGGACGCTTGCTTTCAAAAGTTTGCTTTTATGCATGAGTTAACTAGCACCAGAAAAGGCTTAAGTCTCGCTACACAACTTGTAATACGTGATTTCTCGAAAGACCATGTGGTTTACTTAGAGCTTCGTACAACACCTAAAGCAAACAAGGAAATGACCAAAGAAGACTACTTAATGTGTGTGATAGATTCAATAGCAACCAGTAAGGAAGTCATTGCTGGCGATATAATCGTAAAACTCTTGCCATCTATTGACCGTAATCAACCGCTATCTGCTGCGGAGGAAACAATACAATTAGTGCTTAAATTACAACGGCAATTTCCACATGTAATAACTGGAGTGGATTTGAGTGGAAACCCGAATCGTGGAACTTTCAGCAGCTTTATGCCTTTTTTACAAAAAGCCAAGGAAAACGGACTAAAGTTAACATTGCACTGTGCTGAAATAGACAATTCAGCAGAAGTAGATGAAATGATCAAATTCGGTATGGATCGCTGTGGCCATGGCACGTTTTTAAGCAAAGCACAAATTACGGAATTAAATCGGCAGTCAATTCCTGTGGAATGTTGCCTTACAAGTAATGTTAAATGTAAAACTGTAAACAACTATGAAGACCACCATTTCAAACATTTATTGGCAGAAAGCAATGTTGTGGTGTTATGCACAGACGATAGTGGGGTCTTCGACACAACACTCACTAATGAATTTCTTATAGCAACCGAAGTATTTCGTTTAAATAAGAAAAAGCTACTAGAGCTAAGTCTGCATGCCGTTAATTTCGCATTTACAGATAATGCAGAGAAAGATATTTTACGAGAAAAAATTATTACATATTTCAATAAACAAAAAAAATAAGATTTTTACGTATATTGAAATTTTTTATTTTACACGACTAATACATGAGTATATGAGTATTGTATTTATGCTGGTATTTCTTCAATAAAATCTTCATATTCGTTGCAAATAGATTGCAACGCGTTTTCCGTTTCTTCTTGAAGAGAAAGATCTTTCCTTACGCAATCTGCTTCATTCCCAAGCGTACTCTCGACAGCATTGTTCTCAAGTGAGTTCGCTTTATGCCTCGACATATGCATTATAAGCTGTCGTTTTTTTATAAAACTTTTATTACAAACATTGCATTTATGCTTTTTTTCACCAGCGTGCGTGAGCTCATGATTTTTTAAATCGGGTAATTGCTTAAATCTTTTTTCGCAATACAAACAACCGAAAGGACGCTCTCCACTATGTACACGTATATGTGCTTCTAATGAAAACACTCGAGAGAAACTCTTATCGCATGTGTTGCATTTGTGAGGCTTCTCCCCAGTGTGCGTGCGCATATGTATTTTTAAGTTGCTTGTTTCATAAAATAATTTATTGCAGATTTCGCAACTATATTCCGCCTTACCGAAATGTCTGTAATAGGCCAATTAATTAGAGTCTATATAACTTTCAAATGAAAATGATATACCTTTTAAGGTGTATGCTGAGTGCTGCGTTAGTTTTAAATGCCTTTGGACAGTTTGTGCATTGGAACGGGCGCTCTCCAGTATGCATACGTAAATGTATTGCTAACGCGCTTGCAGAACACAAGGTTTTACCGCAATGTATACATTGATAATCACCGCACTTCCTTTTAATGCGTAAACATTTACAAGAGCTACAATGCTCTTTGTATTTAGCGATTGTGGAAAAGCAGTAATTACATTTTTCGCAACTAAAATATTGTGTGACCGAATGAGCCATGGTTAAATGCCGTCTTAAATTGGATGCGAGCCGAAATTTAGCCCCACATGCGTCACATACAAATTGATTTGTTATCATACTCGATTCAAAATTAATGTCATCTGCATTCTCAGCAGTATCTAGTTCTGCATTCTCATCATATTCAATTAAATCATTAATAGTGAATTCTTCTTGCGTTACTTCATTATTATCCCTCGAATCTTCCCCTATAAGTGGAGTATAGGGTCTCATTTCACCATCATGCAAGGACAATAAATTAGCAAAATTATCTTTCTCAACAATTTGCAAAGTTGTATCAACTACGATTTCTTCTGCAACTTTTTCACTTTGCAAAGACACAATATCATTACTTTCCTCATATACCTCTAATACATATTCTTCAATAATTTGGTTAGAATTGTCTACTTCTATGTTCGCACAAACCTCTTCGGTGTCATTTTTATCATTCGAAGCTGTTTTAATTTCTGTCTCATTGCATTCTACAATTTCTACGTCTTCTTCTTCCATTTGTGCTATGTTGTTTAAGGTCTCCTCAGCTAATCTACATTTTTGTCGAAATTGTGCCACATACAACAAATCTTTAGTGCACGTGTAACAAATATATTTTGAAAAGGGATCATCACGTTCAATCTGTAAACAAAAAATACGTACAGTTTGTGTGTAAACAATACAGTTCGCACCTTACCTTCAATCCTCCGCATTGATAGAGAAGCTTTGATAAATTGCATTGCAAATCTAAGCTGTAATCAACATCTTTTACTTCTTCATAGAGATAAATGACAATATCGGCTTCCTCTAAACATATTCGACAATTTAATTCCATTGTTTTAAAAATATTATTGTTATGAACATTACTTCGAAGACGACGTGAAGATAAATGTCAAATGTGACATTAGTGATTTGTTCGTAAATGCTGTCATTTACACTAGCGCCTCTTGTCATAATGTGTTCGAATGGCTGCCACATAAAACGTTTGATCTATAAATATAAATGTTGCTGTAGAAATCAAAGTACAAATTAGTGCACTTTTAATTTTTTTTAAACTTTCCTCGTAAATTAAACAATTTTCACTTCATTTTAGAACGAAATACTAAGCAGTGGTAATGGATAATGTTTATAAAAAGGTTTTTAGTTAATTGAATTTTGTGGTTTATCATTTAAATAATATATACCGAACAGCGGAACTAAAATATAAATAAACGTGCGATGACAATATTAATTTTTATATAACTATCTTCTTAACTAAAATTTAATATTTTTTTTATAAGTTCTTGTACAGAGTTAATACATATGACAACATATTAACAACATATACATATGAGGCAAAAATAAAACACGGCTAATATTATAAAATAATATACTTTAAATACTTTACCAAATTTCCACCTTCTCACCACCAAAAAAAAATGACTTAACAAATCATATTAGGTGTATTTTTTGTTATGAACGCTCCAATAAAATACGCAGTGGTTAAAAATTAACAGAATGCGCTAAAATAAGCCCACTGTCCTGAAAGTGCTTAACTAATAACCCCCTCGCACTACAATGATGCCAAATCTTAAAACTGATATATTGTGAATGATTTTTGGAAGGAAATGGAAAACTTCAGTAAGTAGTTTATCGTTTACAACTGTTGCGAGTGTTAATGATTGAAATTTAAGTTTAATAAGGTAACTTTTTAAATAAAATTTGTGAGAATGACTAACAGGTAAGTAATTGTGAAGAAGTTATTTATTTATAAGAAATTTTTAATTTCTGTGTTCATTAAAACCATCATTAAAACAACCATTAAAGCAAAAGCAAAAATTTATAACGCAATTGCAAGAAAACTAAAACAGTGTTAAATTCTACTTATTTAGCATTACCTAGTGATGTTACAAGTTTGAAAATGATATAAACCTCAGCAATAACTTTTTTGTTTATGTACATTTTATATGTGTAAATTTTTATAAAAATCAATTTATAAAGTTCAACCGCAAGTTTGTTGGAAATTGATGTTATATATTTACTGGTTTAGTCAGTAATGCCAAGTTATTCTTAAGCACCAAAACTTGTTCTATTGGAGCATTTATGTCAAAGAAATGCACCTATTGTGCACAAAGTTCACAAACACTTTTAATTAAAAAATAGCAAATTAAACTATAGCCCTAATTTTTTTGTTTTTTTACTTTACTATTTATTACTTGCTTAAGTTTTACTAGTAGAATTCAAGTTAATTTTGTTCAGTCAAAATGATCCTTCTCATAAACTTTATTAAACCGTGTGCGAGTTCGAGCAAATTGATGGCATATGGAGGGAATTGGTAAATTATGTCGGTATGGCAACGAATGTTGGTATATACCAAAATTTCGAGTAGGGTAAATTATATAAAAATTAAGTAAATTAGGTGTTACCATAGTGAAAATTTTATAAGATGTTAAATAAATTAAATTTGAAAAAAAAAAAAAAATAAGTGCAATAAATAAAAAAATAAATATTTACATAAGTGTAATGCAAATATCCCAAGGAAATTTCAATTTATTTTAACTCAATTTACTCCAACTCGCTCATGTACATTTAATTATAGCATATACTTATTCTGCCAGACCTATAATCAGAAAATGTTTACGCATTTTGTGAACACATCAAATCCCAAGCGAGTTGTTTGCATCTTCGCTTTAGTTTTGTAGTTAGTTGCAAATACATATTTCATATAAATTATTTCGAAGTATGGATCTTGATAAAATTTGTTTTACCTGTTTAACTAATGATGGTCCATTCATATCCATATATGATGATAGTTCAGGAATTGGAAAAAATTGCATTGCTGATATGCTGAACGAGTTTACAAAAAGCAAGGTAAGTCGATTTTACATTGAAAAAGAAAGTAAATAAATAAAGTAAAACATTTTTACTTTAATTAGCCCAAACGAGCTGAAAACGTATTACCAAAAGTTTGTTTAACATGTCTGCGAGAAATAAATCGGTGCTACTCATTTAAACTCAAATGTGATAATTCAATCCGTGCATTGGCTCAACTTATACCAGATATTGCGCTAGCGGAAGATGATGAACCATCTCCCGTTAGAGTACAAACGTCCAGTAAAGCTTCTCAAACAACACCTGAAGTATGTCAAAGGAATGAGGGGGATGTTAAAGTAAATCAACTGCATCAACACGTGAAAGCAGATCCTGTAATAGCCGCCGTTCTTAGTCTGAAGTCTAAAAATACCGTATATAGGCTTGAAAATGAAAATATTAAACCGATTACTCCAAAAAGTGAAAAACTGGAGAGTTTATCGCAAATAATACTTAATAGAAAATTTCAACAATCTTTTTCGGGAGTAAATGTACCACAAGATGAGGAAGTTGTAATAGAATATGCTGAAGTGTCATCACTAAACAAAGAAACCCCAAATATTTCACAGAATTTGGAAGATCAAAATAGCACAGATGAAATTGGTGGGAATGGCCTTACTTATATCGAAATTACAGAGGAGCAATATGAGGACAATGTACAAGCATCAACTAATATTGAGGATGAATATAATAATATTTACATTGAAACTACCGATAATGAGCAGCACACCGATTATGATATTACTATATATGACAACGAAAATGGCGAAGCAGAGATTGTAGCGAAACCAATTTTGCAACAGCAAAAACCTATTGCCAGTGAGGATTACAAGATAGAATATAAATGTCCTTATTGCATCATGACGTTTGCTAAGAAAAAAAATTTATCTAAACATCTAATAAAACGTCACGAGAAAAAACCGGACGAAGAAGAAATGTCAACTCCCCTCCATATAACATTATTACAGCAAATAGATAATGAAGCTAATTCGGTATATATAATTACATTAAATAAGTTATAACAATTAATCTGTTTCACTTTTTAAATAGCAAAAGGCAACCATAGAACCAAAACGTGAAATAAATGGCATCAAACAAAACACCGAGGAATGTTTAGAGACCGTAGTTGATGAAAAAGTTCAATTATCGTATATTTGTAATCGTTGCAATGCTGGGTTTGCGCAACGCAAGGCACTTAATTATCATTTAAAATCTAATATTTGCACAATGAAATCCTTTAAATGTGATGAATGTAAACGTGTTTTCATATCTGAAGTTTGCTTAAAAGAGCACAAAAGGACGCATCTATACTCTAACGTGTGTAGCGAATGCAGCAATATGTTTAACACAAAAGAAGAGCTTAGTGAGCATATGATCGCAGTACACCGACGTAAACAAAGCAATCAGTGTACTATCTGCAAAAAAGGTATTTAATATCATATTTTTTTATAATACTTACTAACCTTCGTTGTATGTTAGTTTTTACTATGCTGTCTGCTCTCAAGGATCATATGCGTATACACAGCGGCGAACGGCCTTTTGTTTGCCATTTGTGTAACAAAGGCTTTACCCAAAAAGCAAATTTAAATCAACATATTTTACGTCATTCAAATGCAAAAAACTTCATTTGCGATGTTTGTAGTCAAGCATATGTAACGAAAGCGGAACTTTATTCCCATAAGCGTATACATACTGGCGATCAGCCATTTAAGTGTGAATTTTGTAATGTGACCTTCTCAACTTCTAGCACAATGGAATTGCATAAACGTAAGCACACCGGCGAACGTCCTTATCCGTGTTCCATGTGCAAAATGCGTTTTACACGACTTAACGTTCTGAAGAATCATTTACGAACGCATACTGGGGAGAAACCATTCAAATGTAAGGTGTGTAAAAAGGCGTTTACACAACGTGGGGATTGCCAAATACATCAGCGGACGCACACCGGCGAAAAAGTACATGAATGTAAAACTTGTGGCGATAAATTTACACATTTACCTACATTGCGTACGCATTTAAAATCACATAAGAATGAAAATACTACGAGGACACGTACCAGACGATCCACTGCAAGCTTGCGCAATTATAATGAAGAGACTGCTATCGATTTAGATAAAAATATCATTCATCGAGTTAATATTAAGAACGACATACCACAAGAAGAAGACAGTGAATTTATGGATATTACATTAGAGTAACTATGGTAAAAACGCAAGTTAGAAACAGAATAGAATTCTACATTTACATAAATTCAATAATATTTTAGTTGTTATTTACTATAATTCCTTTTTACTTTAGAATAAATTTTTGTTACTTTATAGTTAAATTTTGATTTATAAAATATTAAAATGCCAGCTTTCCGGCTCAAATTTTAGAATTTTGTTTTTTGCAATAATAAATTTATCGTAATTTGTATATGCTTGAGCTCTATATGTGTATATCGGTTCCATGGTATGTACATAAACAGTAAACAAATATATATGTATTTTTAGATTTTAAATTATATTTTTATATAAATTAATTAAACTATTAGATTTATTTTTTTTTAACTATTTTATGTTTTATCACGTACCTATTATCATACCTCTTCTCTATTTTAAAATATAATTTTAGTTATATATTTAATTGTGTAAATTTTATTTGGAAATTTATTTATGTACCTTTCCTTAGACTTGTACCTTATTTGATATTTACTAATATTTAGAAATTAGATTGATTTCTATTTTTTCATGTTTTTTATTAGTTTTTTACTTTACTATTTCTGTACTATTATTCAATTTCAGTTACGTTTTGCAATTGTATTTAAAGAAACCTTTCAACTAGTACTAAAATTGTATATACTATATATTTATACTATGTACACGTACATTTGGATATGTCACATATCTCTTTAACAACAGACATTGTATTAAATTTTGCAAATAATTTGTTATATATATTATATTGCTATTAATTTTAATTGTAAATATATTAAACAATTTATTAAAGTATCATTATTATAAGCAAAAACCTAAGTAGTTAAAAGCGAAATGTTTATACTCTAAAAAATTTTTAATGTTTGTACGTGTAGTATTAAAACTGAAACTGTAAATATTAATAAATAAATGTATAATACAATGTTATATTAATATATTTAAAATTTTATATTTTAATTTTTGCAATGCACGCCGCTTTTATTCTTTGAAACTATTGTTTGAAAGAATTGATATTTAAGACTGAACTAATCTAACCTTATCCTCTTTAATATTATGTTATTTAAAAAAATATAGCCTTAAAAATGCATTCAGTTTTCTCTAGATAGTGTTTTAGTTTTGTTCTTGTTGCTCCAGATCGTTATCAGCACTCTGAAGAAGTCGTATACGAACATTTATTCACAATGATATAGGGGAAATTATTATTTCAGTCTGAAAGGATTAAAGCCAAAGGAACATTCTAGAATTATGTAGTAAAGAGCAAATATGTACTATATTGATGTACTACATAACATTCGTATCAGCCTTTTTTTGTTTTCAATAGAAATTGTATAATAAGTAAATACGTAGAAGGTTAGAGATTAGTTACAATTTAGATATTTTTCTTTTGCTGAAGTCAAAGAAATCCAATGAAATTATCAGATATAGTGTCACGGTTGTAGTTCTTATTCCAGGTACGAGTATATTACTAACAATTATAAGTGTAGTGTAGAGTTTGCAACCCACTTAACTCTACGTTCCCCAGTTTTATGAAGTTATTAAAACCTTCGTGTCTTGTCTGTCAGTATTTTAAGACTTTGTGTATATAAATGTTTTCATGACCTGAACGTTTTAATAAAAACCATTCTTTTTAGTTTCTATATAATTCTGTGCTTTAGAAATTTCCAAAGTTTCAAAGATTTTTGACTTGTTCATGAGGACGAAACTGTTTTTATTTAAAAAATGCTTAATGAACGAAAACATCAACAGATTTCATTGACCACACATTTATAAGCCTGTAGAGCATTCAACATATTGCTTTGATCATTCGCAGAATGCTTAGCAGAAAGAGGATGTTTACACGGTCAGTACCAAACAAGAATACCATCATTTCAAGATTTAAACAAGCATTCTAATTAGAACATCTAATTCATCCTTCTTAGCATTAATTATACAAGCAATAACTATTAAGATTATACGATCAAAAGTACAATAAAATTTCATTATTTCTTTATATAATATAAAAATTTATGTGCTCAAGGAACCCCTAATCTTGCACTTATACCAGAGAACTATAAAGTCATAATTCTCATATCTATAGTATACCCGTAAAAACTAAGTCAAAATACGTATAAATGTTTTTCTCATACCCATTTACATTCACCACAGAAATGATTCATAAGTATTTTCCTAAACGATAGTCGGTGCTATAAATCAACCTCACAAAACTGCGTACAATCTTCTAAATAGAGTAGCGCACAAAGCAGAAGACTCATATAAGTGTTAAGTACTCATTGCAGTTCTGTGATTTAAACTATCAATCGTAACAGTGTTTTTTAACTAATATATCACAACAACTCATAAAAAGTATCAAAACAGTTAGACTCGTATAGAATATGAGTCTATTGGTATTACATTTTAAGCTGAACTATGGCAACAAGGAGTAATAATGGAGTTATTTTGGTACACAGCTGAATATTTGTTACTTTTTACTTCAATCTGGGTATTTTTATTCGTGAGAACATCTATTTTCGATCATATCTAATTATAAAATAATTATAAACTCATAGACATCAAAATATAAAATATAATAACAGGGGTTTATTTTAAAACAAAATGATCAGTTAAAAATATAAAATGTGATCTACAGGAAAAGGAAGTTATAAATAATTAAAAAAGGTAGCGAAGGACAATGTTAAAGTTATACAAAAAGGAAATGTATACCTAAAAGAAAAACCTAAAACTAATTAAGAATAATTATTAAACTGTTTAGTATGTAAGATTTAGTATTTAAGAACCAAAATTAAAGAAAATAAAGTGAGTCTTATATTTATTGTGTAACTGAATAAACGACGGATCTTCTCATTGCAGAGTTTTATATAATATAGGTATATGTAAAGCTAAGATAACTCAGCGTATAAGATATACAACACAAAACTAGCAAGGGTTAGCAGCGGTTTAACCCATTATCTCACGCCACTAGAAGGAGGCGGAATTTCTTAAAGCCGTTTTACTTGTGCACTTATGTACTTCTATTTAAGAAAAAAAATTTTTTTTTTTTTGCTAACCCGCCCAGTTTAGGCTGCACCCACTGTTGCGTTTTCGCAACATTGTCAGAATAAAGGTTCACATACCAAAAAGTTTATGTGTTTTTAATTTTATTAATTTTTTATTTTTTTGTATTTTTTGAACATTTAATTTATTTGTTATGATAATTTATAAAACACTTAGGGTGCAAAGCAACATTACATTTGGTACAGATATATATGGTTTGACTGCGACACAATTTACACCTTTGTCTATCAGGTGTTTGAGATACTGTACGATCAACATTGTCGTATCTTGATGATGTTGGCATGTTTGGGTGTCGAAAATCTGATCCTCAGTTATTAGAAAATACTCTGTTACTTCTATATGAAAGTCAGCTTGTGATATAATTGCCTTTTTTTAACATTTTTTTGAAAAATGCAATGGAGTTTCTAAGCGTTAACCATCGCTGCATCAAGTCCATTAGTTATAAGAGGCCAGTACCATTTTTTCCTCGAATCCGTATTCGGTAATTGTTTATAGTATTGTCAAAGAGATCAACGCCACACATTGTTTTATTATAATGGTTTATAATGTTTGGCATGCTGATATTAGCCATTTTCTTCTCTTTTCTAATATAGCCTTTAGTAGTTTGCACAGGAAGAGTTGCGATGTGGTTTGATGCTACTGTAACTACAGAATTGTTATTTCATCGACATAAATATACATTGTTGTCGACATTGTATACCGCATCACTTGTTCCTCGTAGCTGCTTAGATATGTCTTTTACATTTGCATTTATATTTATAAATTTTGGACGACTTTAGTGTTTCTTCTTTGTTTTTTTTTGATACGTTAGTTTCAACTTCGTCGGCTGTATAATTGAAAACCATTTCTAATTCACCTGCTACTTCATTTGGTAGTTGTTCTCCATCCTCCATCAACATGTCATCTAATACCTCCGCATCACTCTGGTTATCGACATTGGGCGGAGGCAAGAGAGTAATGCGTGTACTATCAGGGGAATCAATATCATTAGATCCCATCAAACTTCAATATCTTCAATATCACACATAGATAAAAACTTTCGTTGTTCACTTATTTTAACACTAATGTTTTAAGGCTGAATATTAAATTGACACTAGAAATGTTAATTTGAATCTACTGACTGTATTAGAAGTCTTAGAGTATTTATTCAATAATTTATATTTATACACCACCATTGTACAGTTTCTAAGAAGAATTATAAAATTATACTGAAATATCATAAAAAATCATAAGATGGGAATATTTTTCGTGTTAAGTTGCAGAAAGCTTATTATTTAATTGCTATTACGCTAAAAAATCAACTGAGACTACCTGCTGCAAGCAATAGTTTCCTTAGCGGGAAAAAACTTTAGTACTCGTTTCTTGACATTGTCGCGTTTTCGCAACACCTGACTTTGAGAGTTTGTGTAACGTACATATATCACCAAATAGCTTACAATTTATATAGATTCGGTAGAATACACTATTGTAATTAAGAATTAGGTAAAAAATTAAAACAAATTTTCTCCATTTATTCAACACAGGCATAAAAATAAGCAAAAGTCGTATAATTTTAAAATAACACAAAGACAGCTCTGCAAAATCTTGCATTAAATTGTATCTATACGACCCAGGTTAAAAAAAATTATATATTGTAGGTAAATCATAGTCATATTGTACAAAAATAACTATAAGCACAAAAACCTTTTAATTAAATTTTAACAAATTTCTAAACACAGCGTTAAAATTGTTGCGTTTTCTCAACATTGTCAGGCAAAGGGTTAACATCAGTTGCTGTATATTAGTCGTAGTTTCGTGCTCAAACTAAACATAAACTTTTTTGGGTTAGTAGAACAAAACACAATCAATTACGAGATCATTATATAAATAAAGGAAATAAGCAGGATTACTGTAACTTTTAATATGCGACATCACACCTGTACATATATCTTAACTTGTCACCGTACACATATGTTCGTTCAAATTCCTTTGGGTTCGTTAATCTATTATTTTAACTCTCTTAATTTATAAAATTTTAACTATTTCGTTAATTAGTACTGTTCTTTCTGATCTTTAGATCTACTTGTGTACCAATCAGCTCCTTCAACTATGGCGGAGTATATTCAGCACTACAATATCGGTGCTAACAGGTCACTAGAAAGACTTGCTATGAAAGTCTCTATATTCTATATTGACTTTTGTCGTGGTTTCGATTTTGAAGAGGAGAGCTAGTCTTTGTTTCAATCTTCTTTGTCTAAATTCAAAAAAAAAAAATTTATAAAGTAAATTCAAAAACAAGAACGCTATACAAAAAGAAAGAAAAAACACTAAAAAATGTAAATAAAAAAATAAAAAATATAATCTGAAAAAATATTAAAAATGTTATAAAAAAAAATATAAACAAACAAACAATAAAAAAATATATAAATACAAAAATATAAATACACAAAAATATATAAAAATTATATTAAATTATGTACAAATTATAAAAAAAATAAAAATAAAATAAATTTAACAATAGATAACAATAACAATAGAACACGATAAGATTTAAATTTAAAAATTCATATAAAAATATAAAAAAAAGTTGTACAATATAAAAAAACAAAAAAATATAAATATGAATATTTAAAAAAATACTAGAAACTAACAAAAATAAATATCCTGAATCTTAAGTTATCGTCCTGTAAAGTTGCTGGCTTAGACTTATAAGTTTATAGATTTAAGAGGTTGGTTCACTTCTACTTAAAGGGGGAGTTGTGCCTTTTAACGTTGTTTGTACGCTGACCACTTCGGTCTATTTGGAGATTTTTCTGATTTAAGTATGAACAACGCTTATCCTCCGTGGTATCATAATGGGCTATTATTTAAACTCAGGTGGTCTTTGATGTATAATTTATTACACTCTTATCATGGAAGATAACAATTCTTGTTTCGTCGTTATAAGTATCAGCTATCAACTATGAAAGTGAGCATTCAAGTTTTCCATAATGCACTGTATGAATAAATTTTATCAGATTTATAATCAAGAGAGAATACAATTATATTAATGAATTAAGAGCACTAAAGCTATACACTCTACCCATTATCTATATTTTGCGGTCCCTCTGACGTGCTTGCGTTTTAGATCCAAATGGATTTAAAGTGAGAAACAACTTAATCCACATTATCTTATTTCTCATCTCATAAGCAAACAAATTTTGAATAAAAGTATTTTTATTACATTCTAATTAAATAATTTTCTTATATTATAAATAAAATTTTTTTAAAATAAACCTATAAATTTTAAGGCAGTTATTAAATTACTTGCATATTACTACTGCACCAAAAAGATTCAGTTGTTCGATAGGAATTCAATTTAAACATCAATAGGTTAGTAAGCTTATCGATATACATATATTTTTATATTCACAGTTCACAGTTTTATTTCTATGTATTATTTTTAACAATGATCATGTTTATAATGAAAGTACTTAAATATTTAAAATAGCCGATAGATATTGTTAATTTGCATTATTTTAAAAATGATTATAAAAACCAAAGTAGCATTTCATGTTTAATATTGGATATTGTGCGTTAGTTTAGATTAATTTTTTTTAAAATAATTTTAAGTAAATAATTATTTAATGTATATTGCTTACGTGCAGTAATATTCATTGATAATAGAAATAACTGCCCTAAAAAATGGACAGCATTGATGAAAAACGATTATTTAAGAGTAATAAACTATTTTACAACGATTCTTTTTTATTTTTTATATATAAACTTAGAGTTTAACATTTGAATTGTGATTAATGAGTGATTATAAACTTAATATCTTTTATGCATTCGTTTTTACAATAATCATTTTAAAATCATAAATCATTTTCGTTCGTATCTTACTATTTATGTTATTAACTACACACATTTGCATTAAAAATTAGGTATACACAATCAGTAAATATATAAGAAATAGAAATATATAGACTTATGCGGTTATAGTACAAATTTAAAACATTTTTATACAAATAATTTAATAACATTTTTTTTTATTAAGGAATTAGCTTTACTAGTAATTTATTATGTATTTCACTCACATTATTTATTTATTTATTTTTTTTTTTGAATTCTTGTATATAAAACTCAGAAAATAATTTCTAACTAAATATTATATCTTCTTCTAACTAAGGTTGAATCTTTTATAAATTATTTTCATAAATTATTGTTAATTTTTATAACTAAAAATATATATATCATACGGACTTATTGATCGGTTTATTGTTAATATTAAATAATTATTATGAAAATAATATTGCTATGAAGAATAATTATATAATTCTGAATAAACTGACCAATTAGCTGATATATACGTGAAGAAATACAGTACTTTTCGCTTAAAACGAGAGGCTGTCCGTTTTGGACAGCCTCTCGGGCAAACTAAACCAAACCCAAATATACGCCCTTACTTTTTTGAAACATACGTAATGTTTTTTGAAATAGAAGTTACAAGGAACTGATAGTATATTTATATCTTCTTTGCGTGATTAGGCGCAAGTTTGTGTCTAAAGATTTTTACTCAATAGTGTCTGTGATTAACTGGATGAGCCTTTGCAAAAACAGCACCGTTGAATTCTGATTACAAGTTATTCAGATGATTTTATAGAAGTATACTTTGAAGCCCAGCATATCTTCCTTATGGAATATATATTGCATTTGATATGAGAACGTGCAGTTCTGAATTAGTGTGCATATCCACAGAATTGAACAATTTCAGCGATCTGTCCTGGATATACTTTTGCACACTCTCGACTCTCAAGTCTTTAAGTATGTGTTCACTTCTGATACTTATATTTCTATCACTTTATACTTATATATAGACGTTTTTATTTTTCGGTTTATACAAACTACAACTCGATTATAAATAAAACTTATATATTGCTGTGACAAACCTATTTGCAAGTTCAAATTTTCTCTGTAATTCTATATCTGGGATTTCTTTTATGTATGAACTGATCTACTTACAAACGACATATAGTTAATTTCAAAGTAAAACAATTGAAAAAGTGATTGTTTCTAAAAATCAGGAATGGAATTAACCGGAATTTGAATACCAAATTTGAATAGCACAATTAAAGTGTGACATTGGCTATATGTGTTAACAGCGGGTCTGTGTTTCAAATTTGACGGGGTTCAAGTTTAACAATTGCTACTATCAGTCAAAAATATATAAAATATAAATTATAGATTATATTTAGTCAAAATAAAAATATTTTCAAAGTCCACTGATAATGGATGGTGGATAGGGATGTTGCCATTTGCCAATATTTGAAACAGTTAATAAATTTCATATAATTATGTTAACTTATTCAATGCGATAACTCATATATTTATGAAGAATAAGTGATTGATCTATATATTATAGGTTTAACTGAAAACGAACCATTTTTTCAGTCCCTCAAAGCTCGGTTTAAGCGCAAAACACTGTATTCAATTTTTTATTCAAATCAAAACAATCTAGCTCGCAAAGATTATTAAAAATGATTTTATTATATAAAGAATATTGCAGTAAAAAATAAATAAAAAAAAAATAAAAATAAAAGAATATTTGTAGAAATATAAAAAAATTGCTAAACTTATCAATAACTATAACTTAGGTTTACAAAAATATACTTACACTTCTCTTAATATCTAGTAGTACTATTTATAAAATTGTCCATATTGCTGCATATGTTGTATATGATGTTGTGGTTGTAGATGATGTTGATGTTGTTGGATTTGTTGTTGCTGATGCTGTTGCTGTTGCTGCTGCTGCTGAAGTATTGTTGGCTGTTGTGTTAGTTGTACTATTGAAGAGTTACTGGTACTTGCTTGAACTACACCCGCCATATCACCACCAGCGTTACTAGTTTTGGGCGGCACACCACTAAGCCAATTTATTAAGCTATGATGCACGCTTTGCATACATTTTCGTTGATCAGCAATTAGGTTCTCTGAGTATTTGACATGATTTGCATATGCTTCTTTTTCGTGTTGCACATCCTTTGACATACGGTGCAAATCTTTAAGTATAGCCGAACCCCAAAGCTGCACATGTATGTCGGGTATTTTGGAAGCTAATTGCATGGCAGGTGTTACCATATTCATACTTTCCTTTGAGTTTCCGATGCTAAGGAAGACATGCGAAAGCAGTACAAGTGAGCAGGAAGTCAAACGATTCAAGTCTTCTGCATTAGCCATTTTTAACGTTTCTCGTAGGAAGCGCCTACAAAGAGCAAAAGTTCAATAAGACCATTTCAACAGATAATATAAAAAAATAAATAAAGGTTTTCAACTGAAGATTATGAACTGCATCTATTAAGGACGCTTCAGACTACAAGCAAAATAAAATTAATGAAAATTTTTCATCTCTATTATGATTAAAATGTAGTATATCTTATCGTTTTACATTATCATAAGTGCTAAGATAATTAATCCAAAACACCGGCAAACGAAAAATGCAATATCTATAAGCTTTATCTGTATACTAAATAAATACATATATATAAGCATAATAAAATTAATTATAAAACTCAGTAATCACAAATGTAAGAATTTTGTAGAAGGCGGTATGAAATAGTATATCGAGTACTGCTGCTTAATTCATTTACTTACTCTGGAATTGCTTTATGCAAGTAAATCTGTTCATATACTTTTACAACAAAATAACAAAACTTCAAGTTAGAACAATATAAGTGAGTGGGTCAGTTGGCTAACTACCACGGACTCTGAGTTTTCAATTTGGCAAAGTACTATATAAAGTAAAAACTTGGTATTTGCAGTTTAAAAATTATTTACGAATAATTATATATAAAAAATATTTTTAAGAAAGATGACTGATGACGGATATTTGGCAATACTGAAAACAGCTGTATGCACAGCCAAAAATTCAATTGATTAATCATAAAAAATTTTGTTGTTATGATTCACTACTATTCAAAAATTCTTTTTATTAAAAACTATTGTTCTATTTACATTTTGAAACGACTCATCTGCATAGATGAATTGCAGAACATTTATGCCTTGGTTACGTCTGAAATAAGAGACTTCAGAACACGCTGATTTCGATATACAAGTTAGTTAGTTAGTTGTGGTGGAGAGAGAACGAATCCTCCTCAAATAGCTAAGAATGAAAGCCGTTTTGAATCCACAAAAACCTTGTAATAGTGGATAGTAGATAGAGGGTCAAACTAGAACCAACCAGAGGCATTAATAAAGGCAATATATGCAAACTTAAATAAAATTGTGGTGTTAATCATCTAGTTGGAGAATGTCAAATATTAGATAATTATAAATACTTTATCGTAAATAAACTCTACCTCAACTTAAAAGAAGTGCTATATATTTTAAATATCTGAAATTAAAGAGTATTAACTATATCAAAATATAATGTGGTCCATATGTAACCTCTAAGTAAAAGGCGAGATTATACATTTACAGGGATAATGTCAAATTTTTAAAGAATTATTTCAATAAATTCTCGTTTGACTTCCAAAAAGTATTATAAGTTCTATGAGATTGGAATTGTCGGACATTAACTGCATATAGTAATATATATTAGATGTACGATATATATATTGATAAAGATAATTTAATATATTATATAGATTATATAGATAAATCAGAGTCACCAAGACTCTGACAAATGTTGAAATTTGCGTAGCTGCCGTAGCAATACCCATATATATTTTGTATTTATTGAATTACAAATTTTTTGAATAACATTAAAAATAATAAAGAACTAATACTACTTGAAAAATAAACAATGACTGTGATGGAAGTTCCCAAGCAAATTGTAACACTATCACATTAACCTAATGTAACATTTTGTAACAAAAAATGAATTCCAAGTTAAACAAAAAGACTTTCTGTCTTATTCTAGTCTAAAAATCATAAATTCATAGAAGTTTGTCAATGTATCTTAGGGTATTTCTATATTTCTTAAACCTTCTAGTTGCACTCATTGCTAGAGCGTTTTTGCTGAAGAGATGCGGTAAAATAAATATATTTACCGATACATTTGTGGACGCAAAATAGTTATGTATGGTAACCATCAGAGCCATACTTTCAAGTCTCTAAAGTTTTAGCGATCCACGGGGCATGAATGACCTTGCTTGAAGTGTGTTCAAGGTCAGTGCTACTAATGAGTCTCCTTCCATATTAGGTCTTGATAAGTAAGTATAAATGCAATAAAACTAAACCTATTGTCGATAGAGCCTTGTTTAAGGTGTTATCTTTTAGTGGAAGGTAATATGTATATGATATCTATTATAGATTGTTTGTGACATTGTTTCAAATAAATTATGAATTTTTAATTTAACAATTATTTTACAAAACTTTTACTATAAACTTTTACTTTAAATTTTGAGGCATTTTCTGTTACACTTTTTCAGGTTAAACTATAAAAAAATGTTTATATTTTTTAAATAATGATAAAAGAGTTTCATACATTGCACACACTATCAGGAAAATCAGTTATCATTTATTGAAGTTGTAAGAGATAACTGACAGCGAAAAATTATCCAAAACGCGTAAGCTTTATTTTTGCATAAAAAATTGCTTACAAAAAATCTTTTAGCAAAGTGGAAATCGTTTTTGTGCTTAGTCGAACAAAATCCGTAATATGTAAATGATTCTGTCCCTATATGGCATGTTATATAGCATTATTGGCTCGTTTAAAGATTATAAGAAAATTGATCTCAAAAAAAGAAAAAAACGTTTTCTGTTAAGATAATGTATTGTCATCAGACCATATTGACAGCTGCTCGATCAGGTGTATTCCTTATATTTGGACAGCTATTAGCTTTTCAGAAACCGCAAGCTCATGCACTGGGTGAAGAGAACTGAATTGAAGATAGAAATGATTGATTAGCACACGCTTATTGGGAAGGTCTCACAAATTATTTGTAACAAAGGTATATAAATGTTCTCGAAGTGTTGGAATGATTATGAATGTCAGTTGAAGAAGAATATGTTGAGAAATAAGACAGACTTCGTCAAAATGTTTTTGCAACCAAACTAAAAATATTTAAATCAACAATTTACAATCAATATTATTTTATTTTGTAAACTTAATAAAATAATAATTAATTAATTGTTTTTGTCATTTTTATGAATTAAATAAGATCAGTCTGCATCAAATAATTTTTTTAAATAATACTTACTTTGCTTCATGAAAGCTGCTCTTGTGAAATGCATGCAAACCTTGAACGTAGTAGAATCCGCCCATTAACGCTTGACTACTATATGTATGTGTGTTTTCGGTCGAAACTGCATCTAAAATTTGTTTTAAATCCTGATCTCTTTTTGTGCGCAGATAAATTATGGCCAAATTTAAATTAGCGAATAATTTTAAATCACGTTCACTAGTCTCATGTACACAGGCAAGAAATTGTTTTTCCGCACTTTCAAAGAAGTTTGTGGACATAGAATATAAGCCAACTAAGCAATGTAGCTGTGGTGAATGACGTTTTAATAAATTTGGATTTGACGATTGTAGGCAGACATCACGTGCAGCAGCTATTTCTTTGATTGCTAAATCTCTATTACCCATAACCATACGGCACATGACTATGTGTTCCAATAGTATCACTTTGAACACTGACAGTATTGGTTTGTCGTCTTGTGATTTGAGTTTTTCAATTTGCGTCAGCGCTTTTTCGGTATATTTCTGCGCTTTGTCCATATAACCGGCCATCATTGAGTGTGACACTGTCACTAAATATACCAAAACATAAAGCTGTTCCTTTGGTAACCAAACAAACATCTCAAGGGGATTTTGACCGAATATCACTGAAAATTGGATTTCATAATTATTAATTTATTTCCTTTTATTTGTTATATTAAACTTACACTCATCAGCAGGCCAGTTTGGCGCCATAATAGTTTGTATTGACATTTGCAATTGTTTTAGACTTGGCTTAACTGTTTTCACTTGTCCTAATGCCAAGTAGTACCACACCTGGAGTACTAAAAAAAATACCTTGAGGTATTCTTTCTGATGTACATTCACTATTTGATTATCTATAATGCCACCGGCGGAATTTAGCAATGCCAACACATCATTTGTTTTGCGTTCAATCATTAATATCATTGCACGTGATAAAAGGAACAAAACTTTTAAATAAGTTGCGCTTTGTTCTTCCGCCGATTCTGCGCCCACTGCAAGCAGCTCAGAGGCAAGTGAGTATTCGCGGTCTGAAGCGTGTATTTGTGATAACTGCAGCAACAGTTTACAATGCCAAAACACGTTATTTTGTGATAATTCTACTGCACGTCGCAACATAGCCTTTGCTAAGGAACTCTGTTCAGTCTGCAGGTGCAATTGCGCCAGCAGTGACGCGGTATCGAATTTGACATCATCAAAATTGAGCAGCGATTCTGATAGTTTCCAAGCTGTCTCGAGATGACTACGTGCCAAGTCGATATTTCGTGTGTACGCCATTAATATCTGTCCCATTTGCAAGTGTGTACGAGCCTCCACTTTCGTTGGCGGTTGAAACGTGAAGAGCGCCTGCAGGCATTGAATGCATTTCTTTATGTTCGGCGGTTGTGCGGTGCGGAAATATTCTGCCAACCCCAAAAGCGATATATAACATGCATCTTGTGAGGCAGTAGCACTCGTAGAGGCCATAGTAGACGCTCAAATATTGTATTTAATTGTAATTGCTAATTATTTTAAATTTATTCCTAATTTACTACATTAGATCACCAAAATGTTAATTTCATTCAGCTGTTTACTTAAAACAACTGTCAAAAAAGCGTCGCGCAGTGTTGATTAATGCTCAATATTTTTGCACATTCTTTAAAACAGGTTTGTTATACAGCGCAATTGCATTCTTCCACGTGTGGTGAAATATAAGTGTGGTAAAATAAAATACGCTGCATTATAATAGCGTAGCCGAGGCATCAGGTCTGTTAATTATTTGAAACTTCGATAGAACATCAACTAAATCGACTTATTACAATGCTTCAAAAAATTTAAATTAAAAGAGTTGTTTAAAGTGCTTAAAAATCCTACATGATGACATATGAATGAAAATAAAAAATTAATAAAAGTATCATTTTCATTTGATTTTTTACTTATTTATTTATTATTGTTAGGGTTGTGGCATTGCGACCGTCGGGTCTATCTCTAAGCACTGTTACATCAATAAAAAGTAATATAGAACCTACTTCACAGAGTTTTATTGCCTCTTCCGTAAAAATATAAATTTTCAGGAGTCTATTTCATATGTGCATTGGCGCAGAGCATTCTAACAGCATGTGTGTGACCGACTCCTCATTCGACTTCACAGAATTTATAGTTTGCATCCGTAAGTATACCCAGTCTTGTGAGGTGATGTTTTAGTTTAGGTAGGTTCATACAATCTGGTATCTCTTATTGTTATTGGCACCAATAATTTGGATTATTTTAATCCTGATATATTATCCTAGTAATGCTTTTAATTTTTTTTTATTTTACTTTTCACTTTTTTATATTTTTTACTTTTTTTAGCCATTTTTTTTCCTAACACAAAAGAAGTAAGAAATAAAATCAGCTGGTTTAACTGAATAACCTAGAATTCAGAGTCCAGCTCCTTTTGAATTCCCCCATTATTTGCTATCTTAAACGGTTTAGATTTTGCTTTTGGTATAATTATGTAAAGTCGTATAACAATAAACCAAGCTCACTTAGTGGATTTAACAACTTTACAATGTTGATCACACATTAATTCTGTAATAATATATATAATTAAGAACTGTGTAATATTAATAAGGTAAGTGCACCAATTATTATCACAGATTAGTAAAGAAAAATAATATGAAATGAAATAATATGACATGATTTGAAATATCTGATATTTAGAGAAGATCATTTACTTCCGTTTTCTTTATTACTTTCGGACTCAAAAGCGTTAACCAATTTTTGCTCCGAATTAGACGTTAAAGCAATTAATTGGAACTCTTTTGCAAAGACGGCAAAAATTTCATATAAAAGAAAATGACATAAAGTTCCTACAAACTAAACAAAGACGAAATAACTATAACATAAAAATTATTTTAATGTGAATATTTTCTTGCCGAAAGTGACGCGTCTTATACTATTTAAAAGTTAAAAGGGCTCGAATAAAAGTGAAAAGACAATAACGAAAATTTTAGTTTATTTGTTGATATTTAGCTTTTAATTAGTTTATACTCCGTATATAACTTGTTTGGACTGCAAGTGCCCGGCTTCTCAAATTACAAGCTTTCAATGCTCAAATTCCAAGTTTTTTATCACTTCGAACCCTTCCAACTAAAAAATTATTTTATTTTTGTTATGAATGTGTGGTGAACTCAATAATGGACAAAATTAATTTAATAAATTTTATTAAATAACTTAAATCGAAACTTTTATGCACACATTTCTTTCTGATTAGAGAAAGTTTCAAATATTGCTAATAAAATGTCGACGTTTACTCGAGATAACTTTGAGGTAATAGCAATTAATATAAGTGGTGAATATAGTATATAGGTATGATGAATATATATAGAAGCTATATAATTATTCTTGATTTCAATTTTATTTTTTGTTTTTAAAGGAGTTGCACTTTTCTGTTGCGTACACAACCAAATAGTTAATATATATTAATATATAAAAATATTAAATAATGTATAAATAAATAAATAAATAAATAAATAAATAAATAAATAAAAATGCAAATTTGAGTTGCATTAGGTATAAGTATTTATTCAGCATTTTTAGAACTTTTCTTTTACAATTTGAGAGGTATACTAAAGTTAATATTTATAACTCTGACATGTAATAACTTTTAAATTTTTATAATATTATATATCGTTAATTATAATGTGTATATATATATATTAAATGATTTCAAATTTATATTCTTATTATTATGGTAAAAATTTCTGCATTAATTTTCTTTAAGACGTTGACTAGCTAAAAACACATTCACAGTCGCGCAATTTATAATACAATATAATATATATATATAACGTTATTTAATTAAAATTAAATAATTCATTTTATAGTTATTAGTCTAAATATGCAAATTAATAAAAATATGTTTATTTGTTTATTAAAAGAAAAAACATTTTAAAAATAAAAAGAATTATAAAATTTTGTGAAAAAGTTTAACTTGATACAGTTTTAGTTAAAACAGTTTTAATTAAAAAATTTTTTATGGAAAATTTAAGTAATATAACTAACTAAACAATTGTATATAATTGATACTGAAAACTTAAAGAAAAGTGATTGTTGAAGGAGACAACTCCTTCAGATTTTATTAAAAACTGAAGAATATATCAAAAATATTAAGTGTGGTTGCTAATTTTTAAGGAATTTCATAAAGTCATGAATCAATAAATTTTCAAAATAATGAAAATATTTTAATTATGCTTTTAATTAAATATTTTATTTCTTATTTTTCAATTTAGTGATAAAATAAAGAGACTGATTGTATATTATCCACGTATATAATTTCTTAAAATTTCTGCAGATAATGGCTAAATGCTTTTTAAATTATTTTATGATATTAACGAAACTAATTAGCGAAACTAAAAGTATTTAATGACTTTTTTTAAATAATATTCAAATATCCATCTTGTCAAAAATAAAGTTTATAACATGTAAAATCAGAATATGTAATCAAAAGTTATAATCTAGACTCATTTCTCCAAAAAGTTTTATTTCAACTGTTTTAGGTTCACACAATAAAAAGTGTGTTTAAAATTTTGGAAGAATATTTAGTATATTATTTCATTTTAATTCTTTCACAAATAAACAAAATAATAATAAACCTACACACATATTTTTTATATATTTAATTATAATGGTTTTTAAGTTCATTATTAAACGATGAACTTATGTTGTTTTGTGTGGGGAATAATATTTTAAAATATTATGAATGATTTTGAAGGTTATTCTTGCAGTGGGGAAATATATAAACACAAAAAAGATATGGAAAAAAATCTAATTGGCTTGTTTATAAAAATTTCTCTCCAACTCCAATTATATGTATTATTAATTGATTAATTATGGTTATTATGTGTGTTGAAAATTTAATATAAAAAAATAATATTTCAACCTTATTCTGAATGCAGTCGTAAATAATTAATATGTATATGATAATAAAAGTAACTTAGATATATTTTTTCTATATATTCGTATTTAATTAGAAATTTTTTCAAATTTATGACTAAATGATGGACGTATGAAGTTTAGTGTGGTGAAAATATTTTAGGAATATTTTTAGTTGTTATTTTAACCTCCCCGAAAGGAGTCTTACTTATATAAAGTTAACATTAAATTATATAAATATATGTTTTATGGAGAAGCAAACAGACGATATGGATATTAAATTCCCCATCCATTGAACAAATATTATATATATGTATATGCATTAACAATTTGTACAATGTATGTAATATTTATTAAAATTTTGTTGACAATTCGATTATGGTTTTATTAATAACGGTATTATAAACAGTCGTTGTGGTAAATAACATAAATATATGAATAACCTGTAGGTTTGTTAAAATATTTTAAATAGTGCTATGCTTTCAGATACAGTATTTTTTACATCTATTTATGTAATTGTTTTCTTCTTAGGTTTATTAATGAATTAAAATATTTTATTTTTAAATTACAATATTCATTATTATTACATATTAGTTTAGATTTTTTTTGTAATTTAAATTTATTTAAACATAAATTAATTTCTCTTTTGAACCATCTAGTACCTTCAAAATTACGTATATAAATGTTTTCCCTCAATTGTTTCCCATATTTAATTTATTAATGTTTCTCTCTTTTGACGTTATTTTTTAATAATGTATTTTTAAAGTATATTATGGAAAAAAAAACATTTTAATATGTGTAACTGAATATATCAAAAGCCAAATACGGACCACGTCTCTATGTGATACATACTCGTATATTATCATATATACCAGTATATTGTATATTGAAATAATGGTTAGGTTAAGTGGCGGTGTAGGTGGAGATCTGTGCATTAAAGCTCACTTAAGCACAGATAATGGCTTTAGATCTGAAGAATCCACTTTAAGGTAACAGTCCCAAACATCTAGGGCAAGAACAGAGTTCTTTTGAGAAAGTGTGGCTACATTATTCCAATGAAAGGTAACCAATTTAAAAAGTCTATAAATTTTTTAGCTAACAAGCTATATGAGGTGGATTATAGTTTCCTTCTTTTTCGTAAAACAGCAGCCACAAAAAAATCGTTACGCTTTCTGTACACTTAGAGAGATCTCAGTACCAATAAAGTAGTACTGAGTTGGTTTCGCTTTAATTGAAGCAACTTTCGAGCAATATCCAACTACGAATTTAGTCTATTTTTAAAATGTGTACTATTCATCACTTTATGTGAATAAATAATAGATCAATAGTAAATAAAATTGGTTTGTAAAATGCGTAAAACTATGCAAATAATTAAAATAAAAGATATTACAGTTATATGCTATATACAAATACTGATTTCTAATAAAAAATTACAAAGATGGGAAATCACGTTCATTCACCTTGGTTCAAAGAACTAAAAACATTTTACGAAAAGGGAAATCCATTTTAAATATACCGAGATGCAACAGGGTTTAGGAGAGTTTTACGCTGAAAATATGCAGTCCTCTTATCCATTATCCATAAAAACATTCTACGAAAAGAGAAATCCATTTTAAATATACCGAGATACAATAGGGTTTAGGAGAGTTTTACGCCGAAAATATGCAGTCCTCTTATCCATACCTCTTATTTTGAAGAACAAATTCATTGGTCCACATTTGCTAGTGATGAATGAAAACCACCTGCTTTTTCTTGAAATGGATATTTATAGTGACGTAAAAATTCAAATAAAAGTTTTACTTCTTAATTAAGTTTACATAATTCCGGTGGCAAAAGAAATTTTGTAAACATTTTCTTGACAGTCTGACGAGTCAACAGTCTCATCAGACTGTTTCATCTGTGACTTCTAATGACTTTTGTTATATTCTGTTACATTGTTTTTATTCTAAATTTCGTTCTATCTCGTTCTTACAAATTGCATCTAATTTTCACACTCTTACTAAATATTATTTATATATCATTATTAAATAAGTTTCTTTCTCTTAAATAAATGACTTATTTAAAGTAAATATTAAATTTAACAATTCCTTTAATTCTCTTAATTAATAAAAATTATTTTTAATTAAAAACAATAAATTGTTCATATGTTAAAGCTACGAAATGCACAGAATGTTTTAGAAAATAATTTTTACATATTTAATTATTTGTTTCTTATTTTTTTGTTTTATTTTTTTTTTGTGTAAACTAACGTTTGTGTATATCGTATAAATATCGTTGAAAAATCGTTAAGTATTTGAGTACGAGTATCTCTGATCTCTTAAGTATATAAATTTGTCTTAATTTTCTTTTTAATTAGTTGCTAGGTTAATAAAGTTTATAAATTAAGTTAACTAAGCTGAAACGATTTCGTTAGTATTTGAGCTTATTTAGGCTAAATTCAAAAGGATTTTTTACACGTTTTAATTGTGGTTTTAGTTCAACTAGTAATTACGGAATTATGCGAGTAGTTAAGTATTATAATGATATATATTAAAACTACAAATGTTTACACTAGTAACTAGTAGTGAGTAAAGTACTCATATAGTCCAAACTTGAACTTTCTCTGCTACCACACACCAGCTGGCACGTTCGTAGTACGAGGACACAATGTGCAGACTGGTCACATGATGATTTATCAAGGCGTCCAGTTCGCCTTCTCTGAAAACATGATAGTAACGATGATGTGTTGTAGCGCCACCTTGTGACGGACTGTCAAGGGATGTTGTCGAGCTGTTTGAATGTTCCCAAGACTCAGTCGATTGGCGATTTTCCAAACCCTGTGTTTGTTGTTCTGATTGTTTTTGTTGCTTATCTGATTTTAACTTATTTTTTTGTGCTTGTATTTGTTGTTGTTTTTGGTTTTGTTTGTCTTTCAAGTTATCCTCTAAGGAATCACACTTGATCGTATTGCGACTAGTTTTGCGAGCATATTCCTGAATATTTTTACCACCTAGTGTTTTTGATTCTTCAGCAGTAGATGCTGTTTTTGTTGTAGCTTCTAATTCCTCATCCTCTTCTTCTTCAAATATAATATCATGTTCAATGTCTTCAATTTCATCTTCATCACGCACTGAAGAATCGCCGTCATCTTGCAGCAGATATGCAGTTTCAGGATTTAAATTATAGTGCCGATTGCGCTTATAATTGAATTTAGATATCTTGCAGTTCTCGTATAACTGCAGTGTGTAGCTACGTTCATTCTCTTCTTCATCCTCTTCTTCATCTTCTTCATGTATAGTAAAACTACGTGTTTGCGAAGATAACGATGATGTGGATGATGAAGTGGGTGATTGTTGCAAACTTGGTTGTGTTGATAGATTGGCTAACATAAGTCGTCTTTCCCGTAGTTCCTCACGTAATGCAGTCAAATCTCTTGGTTCACCATTACGTTTCTTTTGACTGCATAGTGGATCATCCAGGTATTCCGCAATGTCGCCAATGCCATCTAAACTGCGACACTCTGCACGGTTGGTCTTATCCTCGATTTCACGTAATAATTGTGCACTCAGTTTCTCTGCGAATTCAACACAATCCTGTTGTGTTTTTGTATTAGTTTTCGCAGATGAACCATTTGCATGTATGGGCAGTATGTTGCAGCTATCATCATTCAAAATGATATCATTTGGTGCTGCGGGATTTATTTTAAGATCTCCGTTGTGATATTGCTGCTGTTGCGCTTTTATGATATGTTCGATATCATCGGTATGCAGCACCTCATTGCTGCTCTCCTCTGCAGTATCTGCTTTTTTATTTTGCTGCTCTTCATTTAGACTGGGTGCAACATTCGATTTGGGTGCACTTATAACGCTGTCAATTGAATCTGGCGATGAGGGTTCACTGGAATCACTGTCCAAGTCATCTGTCGCCGGATTAAACAGTTCTAGTGACAGCAATTTGGGTATAGTGGGTACAGCACTGGAGGCAGCAGATGAACGGCGTACGATTGGATAGTTGGGTCGCTGCAGCTGCAAGGATTGTTGTTTACGAAATTTGGGTATGGGTGGCAGATCCTTTATGGTTTGCCGTGTTATTTTGTGTAAGTTACCATTTACATTACTTTGCTTCTCAACTTCACTTTTCTTATTTTGCTTGTTGTTGTTGTTATTGTTGTTGATGACTGAGTTTATTTGGCTTGCGTTTGATAAAATTTCTGGTTCCGATTTTTTTATATCAGTTTGTGACTCTTGTTGCTGTTGTTGTTTAGTTTGTGCGTCATGTTGCTTAATGTGGGCCTCATCAAAATTAAAACGATTTTTGCTAATGCCATTTGAAATTATATTCTCGGCACCCTCGGCTAGTGGCTTTGAGGGTGGGGTTAATATGGCCATTGCAGCAGTAACAGCCGCAATGGTTTGTGGTGGCGAAGTAACCGCAGCTTGTGCTGCTGCTGGCGAGTGTGCTGGCGTTGGAGGACATGGCATTATTAGTGGAGAAGTTGGCACAGAAGGTATGCGTGGGTAATGCGTTTGTTGCTGTTGCCCATTCACATGCATGCAGTTCATTTTGTTGCTCGTTTGTTGCTGGTTGCAGCTCTTGCGTTGACAACAATTATTATATACTTGACAGCCGCCATTGCTGGAAGATGAATTACTAGAACTTGAATTGGAGTTTTGGTGCTGTTGTTGGTAATTTAGTTGCTGTTGATGCTGTTCAGGCTTAGGTATGAATATAACAGAAGCGAAACTGTCTTCAGATTCAATACTTGTATCGGATTGCAGACTACTGTCTTTAGAAGAATCCGATCCAGATTCGCGCGAACAGCGGCGTGCTTTGCTCTCTGCGTCCTCGTTTCCATTTACCGAGTTGCTGTTGCAAGTGCTACAAATGTGATGATATGTGCTGCAATAACAGGCCGTAGTGGCACAGTCGTGATTGTTGCAATACACCACTGGACCCGCAAATCTGCTGCTGGCGCTGTTGCATGAAGACTGTTTGTACAGCATTTGTGGAAAGTGGTGATGATGATGATGATGGCTGTGGTGCTGAGGATGCGGACAATGGCTATGCTGCTGTGCATTATTTTGGCTTGTTTTGGGAACTGCCGTACCGTTTGCGGTTTGCGGTGATTTAAAGTTTTGTATGATTTTTGTTAAACCATTTTTTGTTGCGCGCTCCAAGCTGCCCGTTGAGCTTTTTATTTTTGTTGTGAAGCCTTCACGTATTACCTGCAGACGTTTCGAAAACAAGGCCGAACGACATAGAAAAGCTTCATTTAATGACATTTGTTTTTGTATGCGCTTACGGACACGTTCTTTTTCTCGTATACGATTTGCTGCCATTAACTCTTCATTGAGGGAACTTTGCTTACGCAAAAAAATGCTTGCCTGTGCTAATTGGCGTGCTGACAGACCGGAGTGTTGTTGTTGTAAATTTAAGTTAAGTGGTAAGTTGGGATGCTGATTTGAGGTACTACTGTAGTAGCAGCCGCTTTTCATATAGAGACCGTTGTTAACACTATTACTACTACTATTATAGCTACTTATCATATGAAATGGATTTTCTGGCAGTTGATAGTCTTCATCACAAAGCGATTGTTTTTGTTTTATTAGTTTAGGACGGCGACCGAGTGAAGATGAGGCACTAGCGCTTGCACCTACATTGGCTTTGCCTGTTGGTGAATGGCCATTTGCAGCTGTGGTTATGCTAGCACTATTATGGCCGTCGTATGTCGAGAGGAATTGAGCATTTTGAGATGACTTAAGATTTTGTTCGGCATGCAGCAATGGACCACCTAGACTTGGAACACTGGAACGTGAACGTACTATTTGACGAGGTGGTGGATTGAGTATGCTACCTAGGCTACGTGATTTAAGTCCAGCTGAAAGTGGTGGATCGGGAAAATCGTCAAAATCGTCAAGTCGTCGTAGTTCTATTGGTAAGTCTTTGGCATCTTCATAATCTAAGCTGCTGTCATTTTTAGTCTCCTTTGATGTCCATGAATCTAAGAACCAAGCGTGCTTACGACCACCAGCAAGTTTCTATGACAGAGAGAGAGAGAGAGAAGAAATAAGTCAATTAGGTTTTAATGTTAATAAAGTGTTTCCATAAAGATATAGATTTTAATATTTAAAGATCAAATGAAATTCTTTTCCCTATATTAAAATATTATCCGAAATCAACTAAAGGTGTCCACAATTAAGTTGCGGTGTTCACACCTACTTTGTTCGATCTTGCTTAAAGGAATTTATTATTTGATTATTAGAATAAGGTTTGCGATTTAATGTTGAAGTTGACTTAACATGAATATAATTCGTATATGTAGAGTGTAGGAAGTTATTACAATATTCTCTAATATTTTTGAAATTAATGAGATAAATAACGCTTCAGCATTTTTTTCAACGAAAAAATTCAATTTCAATTTCAGTTCTGGTATTTTATTAGCTCTGGTTGTTATTCGCCAAATTGTTAAACGTTTATTACGTTGTTCATCACTTAAATTTCCTTACATAATTTTTTCTTATATCTTTATAGCTAAATTGTCTTTCAATATTTGTTATATTCGAATCTTCAAATTCTCGTTACTTTATTTTACAAAACAAAATGTTTCCCTATACATCACTTAAATTTTATTAAAATTATTTAATTAGTTAAAATTATTAATTAATAATAACGATTGATTTCACAAGGATACTAAGAACTCTGTATCAACCACTTCTTTCAATTATGTATCTGTTATATATCCTTTTCTGAAAATAATTTGCCTTTTTTTATAGAACAGAACAATTTCTGTTGAAGCAATTTCACTACTATTAGAGGAAAACCTCTCAGAATAGTAGAAACTTAAGAATCAACTTTTTATATGGAATTATTTTTATTAATTTACGTTTATTGTATGAAATAATTCCACAGATTTATTTTTTTATATATAAAAAGTTGAAGAAAGAAACAAAACAAGCACATGTTATATAAACATTTCTAGCATTATCAAAAATAGTTGTTTTGTCGTCCCCAAAAAATATTCAACTATTAATTTTTATGAATTTTTTCACTAAAAACAATTCGATTTATACAGATTAGATAAATTTTTTTAGTTGAAAATTCTTTTCTGCAAATATTCTTGCAGTAAACTAATATTATATATTATAGTATATAGTAAGTAAAAATATCTACTATGTAGTCATTTAATTTTTACTTCACTGGTTCAACTATTCAATTTACCTGTATTGCACGCCTAACAAAACTGTAACACGATTCACCTGGTGATGAGGACGATAAACTAGAGCTATCACCATCACCTGCTGAACGACTGGAATTTGTCGAATCTTCTATATATGCATGATAGGGTGGCAAAAAATCATCATCATCTTCCTCATCAGAATAGCTATAATTGCGATTCTTTGGTGGCTGCCATGGTATTAACACGTCTTGCGATTCGAAACGTCTATGTCGTTGTTCCAAAGCCCAAACAGTTATAACTACACGACCTCCAATCCTTAAAATACGTGCTAATTCACGTAATGCACTGACACGTCGCTCAGTAGTAGCAAAGTGGTGGACCACTGCAAGTGAGAGTACGGCATCAAAAGACTCGTCTCGAAATGGCAACTCCAAATTATCACATAACGCAACCTGTAAATAATGCAAAGAGAAATGGAATGGATTATTTTTATTGTGTCTTTAGAGCTATTAATAATACAAGCATGTTATATATTACAACAATCATATTCAAACATAATTTTTAATTTTAATACAAGAACTATATATTAAAATTGAACAGTCCAACATACACTAGATCAGACTTAAGACAAAAACTAATAGAAAAAACTTGGTACCTACATTGATTAAAGGAAACCGTAGAGTATGCAATACTCGTATAATGCTAGGAACTATACGATTTAAGTTGTAAGCATATATCCATATCTTGTCGTTTGGATAACAGATGACAATAGTATGCATGACTACGCAGTATATACATGTGGACAATTGAAATTTAAATATTTGTCATTTAAGATTTATATCATCATCGTACATATGTAAAAGATTTGTTAAAACATCAGTCACAAATAACTGTGAAATATGGACAATAGCAAGTGCAAAGAAACAATTTCATAAATTTTGCGAAAGAAAAGCTAACGAAAAATATATCATGAAGGTCTAAATTGATTTATTGTCGACATTAAGAGTATTATCATTATCGTGATAATTATAGTGACTACGTTGGAGGATTTATTGGAACATAACAAAAATTAAAGCAATTGTCACAAAAATGATCTTGTTATTCAAAGATTAATGGTGTTAAAACAACAGTACAGTGATAAGATAGGTGGAAGAGCTTAATTTATAAAGTTTAAAATCATTCAGATCTGTAACGCCACATATTAATGTTCTAACTAAAATTCGTACTCATGTCTAAAAAAACCGTTTGTTTGTTTATTTTGAATAATGTTATAGTATATACACATACTATATATGGTACAGTAATGGATATAGGTTGTTCAAATCTGCTGATACTGAAAGGAAAGAAGAAAATGCGTGAAGCCCAAGCTATAGTTGGAATAGACAAAACAAAACAAAATGTGTGATGAATTTCTCGATGGATGCCGTATTATATTATTATTAATGATATAACATATATAGCATACGCAAATGTTTATAATATATTATTATTATCAACGTACATATATTGCAATGAAGGCTTCTTGTCTTGAAAGAACTATTGAAAATACCAAATAAAGACAACGATATTAAATATTTTTATTGTTCAAAAAGCAAAAATAACAGCACAGTAATGACACAGTTATGAATGGTGAAATAATGTATGAAGGACAGTTTCAGCGTAAACGTTTATTTAAATTATAATTGTTGTCCAGGGTGGTAATAAAACGTATTTGTTAGACACATAAAAAACTATTATAACACAAATCTCTGATTCAAAAATTCCTAAAAAGAAAGATATACCCATAACGAAATAGAAAATATCCGGTTTTGTATTATAATGTTCTAGATACTATCAATGGGAAATGTTATAAGATATATTAAAGTGTAGTGCTTGGATTGAGTGCAGTTCAGCTTCGAATTCTTCAATAGTAATGCGACGATGCAGGGGTGTATCCAAACTCCATTTGGGTATTTAAAATGCATTTAAAGTATATTTAATAAACATTCATATAGATTAAGAAGAGAATGCTTTACTAGCACTGAGGGGTCCTGTACGATACACTTTGGCTGTTTCTTATTAGAGTAATGATATACTGATATATGAATTAGAATTCAATGGACCCGAAGAGTAAAACATTATATTTTCGCGTAAATAAATAATACTAAACTGTTTAAAGGAAATCTATATTTGTGCATTTTTGAGATTTGTAGGAATCAACATAACGTTCTTGAAAAAATTTCAGTAGCGGCGGAATAAGGTCCAGTGATACTAATAGTATTGATTTTATCTCGTTCTTAGGTTGCTTGATGGGTTACTAAATTTATATAGATAAGTAATTATTTAAAGTTAAGACAAAAATGAAATGTTACGCCTTAGTGGTTTTGAGCTTTGGAAATGAAGATGATTCTTTAAAAATTAACTTTTTGCCTTAAAGAAATTTAAGGAATCCCTAAATATGTTGATATCAGTTGTAAAAATGCAATTGATGATATTAAAAAAAAACTTTATGGAGCTCATGGTGGTTGTCGAAACTGTTGTATTAACTGGAAACAAACAAAAAGGAAAACCAGAAAACCAGAAAAAGATGAAATCAAAAAAACTTTTATAAAGAAAAACAAAGGAAACTGTTGGACAAGTAATAGACTATCAAGGTGATAAAAATTATTGTTACCCATGTGATGTTTTACAATTTGTGACATTGAAAAAGAGGTTAAACAAGGATTGGTAATTTTATAAAGTGTCCTAATGGGATCATGTAGGTCATTTTAGGTTAAGAGTGTTGGTTTCTAAAAACAGAATTTCAGTGATATGATATTTGATTACAAATGACTAAACTCATCCTCACGCTATCATTGACTAAGGTAAGATAATTGTTATAATTACTAACAACTTTGGGAATAATCAGGAAAAATGTATGCTCTGATTAAGAGAAGCCAGTATCTAAGGTAAAGTGACTGCTATTAACTTAAAAATACAGAATATTAGTTTATTATCACCAAATCGAGGTATTATCACCAAATCGAGGCATTAACTTAAATACTTGGAATATTAATTCATTATCACCAAATACAATTTTTTATTTATAAAGCAAGATTGTGTATGCATATACTCGTATCTAATAGAAGTCTTTGAAGCTATTGTGCGCTTTATTTTTATTTAAGAACTGCAATTTATTTCGTGGAAAAAGTAATTAATAAACTTGAACTCATAACATTTCAGGAGTGAAACTAATTTAGTTAGCTGGAATGACTTAAATTGCATTACATCCTTATTTTTCTGTGTAATTGTAAATGTAAGCATACCTAATGACACACTCGGGACAACTTTACGTGAAAAACAATTAAAACACACTTTTAAGCAAATACAATTTTCCCCATTTAACAAATCATCTACGGATGCTTGTGAAAATTCGAAGAAAAAGAAATTTTCAGAATGAAAAAATTATTCTTTTTTCACAATGCAATACATGAAGCAGACATGATAACATGTACGCAGCCAACATGTGGAAAATTTTTCCCACTTATACTCGTACGTACTCGTACGAACTCAATAGAATAAATGCCAGGAAGTGCTTGTTTGTAATCCTGGCATTTGGAATATGTACTCGTATGCTCGTATGCTCGCATGATTGTATGTATGTCCCGAGTATTTGGCGAACAGTAATTCAGTTCAATTAAGAAAAACAAACAAGTATAGTATCAGTAGCGTTTGAATAAGGGGAACAGAATTGACCTGATTAGTATATAAGGGTAAACTTATATTAACTTGAGTTTATCGAAGAGTTAATAATGATATAATAATGCAGTGTATCACTGCATAATATAATATAATGCAGTGATTTTAAGTTTTGTATGTAGTTTTTTTTTTAAATAAATATAGGGTTTCAATATACCCTAAAGTATACTCCACACAGCGGTCAATCATTAAGTCTTATTGAGTGCGTTAATTCAACCATGAAAACAGTTAGTAACAGCAACTGTAAAGTGTTTGCCAGAGATGATGCAAAATATAACAGAAACGAGTATATCAACTAATAGAAGTAAATTTTAATTTTAGTTAACTGTCTTAAATTGAATGGTAATAATAGTAAAAAAACGCTGTTCACGAGTAATACGAGTTCACGAGTTTCAAATGAGATTTGGTGTGAAGGCTGCTACTCAAACAAATTACACGTAACGGTCTTAAAAGAAAGAAGTAAAACATAAATATGGTCGATATACCTATGTGCATTACTATGAAAAACAAAAACAAAAAAACAAAGAAGAATGGAAGACCGTTGTTAAACAGGCTTAGGTCCTATATGGACTGTATAGTCACGGATGATGATGCTGATATGCATTACTAATTGCATACATTTTTACCGGAATATAAATGTTCTTATTTTCCCGTCCAGGATTTTTAATTTTTATTAATTGTAAAGAAATTGTGAAATTGCAGTAATATGTGTATACCTTGTGATAAAATATCATAAATCACTAGGAAAATTGAAATACCTACATAGACTAATATCACGAATAACAAACAACTGCTCAATTTCTGTCACTAGTGCAAATTACTTATCATAAAGACAAACTAAGAATAGTACTATATGTTAAGTAGTAAGTACACTAAAAAGTTAAATAGATAATAATCTATCTATCTCCAGACCAAAATTTGTTGTTTTAAGTTAAGTATGCTCAATATTTATGTTTCAGAGGATATTCGCCAGTTACAATAGCTCTCTTTGATAAGCATTTTAGACTTAATTGCATGTTCAACATTATTTTAAACCTTGGATTAGTATCGGACTACTACGAATTAATTAGTATTATACTCATGAAATTAGTTGCAATTATTTATAGTTTATTTGTTTATAGACTTAAATGTTGTGATTAAATTTTTCAGATTGATGAAATTGTTTTGAAATATAAATTATAATTACAACATATAGAAGAAAATTAAATTATTTGTGAATAAATTTATCACATTTCAACATTTAAGGTTGCAAAAAATGTTATGAAAACTATATAAAGTAATAGATTATTCAATTTCACTTATTGTTTAACATATGTAACGTAAAAGCTCCGTTACTGCTTACACTTTTCGATAATCCTCATCAATCTATTACAATTTTTTGTAATAAAATAATAACTAAATATTTAAATAAAATTGCAGAAAATTGTTAAAAATTTCTTTTAAGATTTTAAAACTGAATAATTCTTGTCTGCTAGGAATCACATATCTGACTATTTGCATATAGGAATGATGTTGGATAGGAAATGATCTTAATTGGGGAGAGAAGAATAATATTGCTGTAATTTGATAATTTTCAAATTTGTTATTTGTTAGACGTAACGCTATATTTGTAATGAATTTGATATATATAATCGCTCAATGGAATTTAAAATTCCTAACACTTGTAATAATAAAAAACAAATATAATAAAGTTATTTCAATTAATTAGTACCATTTTTATTTATTCAACTATATT